AAGGTGGGAAAAAATAACATCACATTTTAGAATATCAAAAATGGAGTCAGAAATAATCAAAAATACATAGCATCCCTCTTAATATCAACAACAACTTAATATCATGCAGAGTAGAGACCCAGAGCGCTTGACAGTGCACAACGCCGAGCCGGGGGGAGTGGGAAGTGACCGTAGGCACGGTCAAAGAGGAAGGTCTTCAGGCCCGATCTGAAGATGGGGAAGGAAGGGGCAAGGCAGAGGGATAGGCAAAGAATGTTCCAGAGTTTCGGGGTATATTGGCTGAAACTGTGGCCACCCACGGGGAACAGAGGGCACGTGGGACATGCAGAAGGCTGGAGCCAGTCGAGCGGAAGCAGCGGGTAGTGAGTTCGGGAATCAGCCGGTCAGAGAGGTAGGCATTAAAAATTAATGTGTAAAAGTGACTAATATCGCTTCATCATATAGAGGGAATTCATTAATTGATTCACCATTAAAAGAATTGATACTTGTTCCAAGAGAGTCCTTGCTTTGTGGCACATCCCATTCTTGGATAGTGCTTCATCAGGAGATCCATCTCCAAAGAAAACGAATGCCTCAAAACCAAAAGTTGGGGCTTTAAGGCCAGTGCTTCACACAATTCACATTTACCAGAGAAAAGTTGTCATTCACTCCTGGAGAAGGAAATCAATAGCTATTTCCAAGAAAGCAGTATCAAGATTCATTCATTTATGTGATGGAAATGCAAAAAAAAAGCTCAGGCTGTATCATTTGTTCTGAGTGAAAAGGAAAGCTAAACTTTGGAGGTGGTACATAACACCTCTGGTGACTGACCAGCTCTGAGCTCTTTAAGGAAGAAGGAAAAAAATCATTTTAATATTATTAAACCAAAACAAAGCACATGCTTTACTCAAAGTGAGATCTAAACACTTTGACCTGGGAAGGAAGATGAGTAGATTCTTGGCAAAGATACTTTATATTAACTATTCTGTATGTGGATGAACACTTAAAGATGGAAATAGATCTTAGGATAAAGGCATTTCAGGAATTCTATTCAAATTTACATACAGTTCAAAACAAAATTGATGGGGGCTATTGAATAAATCTACTCAAACTAAGTCTAAAATCGACAATATGTCCTTTGTAAACCACTTCTTTAGAAATAAATGGAAAACATGTGAACTGGCTATTGCTGTCAAATTATGTTCAAACTCCATCTATTGATCGATACAGTTTTCTGCTGGGTTTTGTGAAAGGATTTTACGTAATCTTACACTTTAAAACACTTAATGAATTGCTCGATTTAAAAAAAAAGGTTCCTGAGGTTGTGATACTTAACATACAATTGTAAAGCAATTAGGAGCAAAAAAAAATGTGTTAATGGTTATTTCACTCCATTTTTCTTTCAGCCCTTTATTTTATTTTCTATTTTCCTCGATTTGTTATTCATCAAATATGGACAGCACATTGCATTTTTATGTATTCTGTGCAGAGACCCCCAGTGCAAGAAATCAGATACTACAACAGATACTATAAACACTCAGCTTGCCATCTCGTGGTAAGGATCAAGTACTACGTCTAAGTAACTGAACATAATTCCCTCTTAAGGAACAAGAGCTTTCTCAAGACTAATTTTAAAAATGAAACATAACTTTATAAAAAAAAGAACACTCTTTTGCTTTGCTTTTCTGTTGTGTTGAACATGTTTACCTACAGGATGGGGAGGAGGCGATGACATAAATATCTCGGAAGAGATTTCTGCATCTGACATTGAGAGAGATGAACTAACACACACTGATGCACTTAACCAGGATTGTTTATGTTTTAATGTGTCCTTTGGATGATATGTTAAACCGAGATCCCCTGCCACTAATCAAAAAGAGAAGAGAGTCTCTCCCTCATCAACACTGCCCCAGTCACGCAAATTACTCATTTACTTCACAGCTGTTTGTGGGATATCAATGTGCATAAATTGGCTGCTGTTTCACATACAAATACATAATGAAATGAATGACAAATTGTATCCAGGGAGGCCACAAAACTGGGAGAAACTCCCTTCTGTTTTTGTATAATGGCATGGGATCTTTAAGGACAGATGGGACTTCAGTTTAACATCTCATCCAAAGGGCGGCACCTCCGAACAATGTGGCGACTCCCAACATTGCACTGAAGTCAGCTTAGACAGTAAATTTATTGAGTTACTATATGCCATATATCCAGCAAATATCTTTATGTCCTTGAGATGTATTTTAGTGTTTCATTACCTTCAAAAAATTGAATGAAGGTAATGAAACACTAAAAAACATCCCAAGGAGGAGTCCTGTAGCCGAATGGTTAGAGCACGCGCCTCGCACGTGAGAGACCTCGATTTGATTCCCCGGGCGGGGCGAATCCTTCAGCAAGTTTCCTTACTCCACATGTCTCTGTTTACCTAGCAGTAAGTAGGAACCTGGTTGTTAGTTGATCAGAAGATCGCTTTCTGGAGGTAATAAATCTCTTCCCCAAAATTAAATAAATTTTAAAAAATGTAGTCACTCAATCCACTGTTTGTGGGACACTACTGCTCCCATGATAAGGCGTTATATCAAATGCAAAGATTATTATTACTATTATTATGATATTTATGTTTCTAAACTGCTTGGTATATTGATAATTTATAGGTTTGCAAATCACAAATTTCTAAAGCCATTGCCTGTCAATAAAAATGAGGTGAAAAAAAAACTGTACTAATATTCAATAACAAAATTACTATTCCCTTCAGGCTATAATAATTAATTACAAACAGTGATAATAGTTATGTATTATAATAATATTATATTAATAATAATGACTGTTTACTAATATTCAGTAACACAGTGACTATTCCCTTCAGGCCACAATGACTAATTAATAATATTAATAATTATTATATATTATAATGATATATTAATAATGACTGTTTACTAGTATTCCCCACAGGCCATAGTGACTAATTAATTAGCTTGACTATGCAAACTCCTTACTTGTCGGCCTCCCCAACTCCTCCCTCCACTCTGCAGTCCATGTCCCTATCACCCCCATCCTCGCCCGACTCCACCGGCTTCCCTTCACACAGAGGATACAGTTCACGATCCTGGTCCTCACCTTCAAAGCCCTCCACAGACTTGCTCCCCCCAACCTCTGCGGCTTTCTAACCCCCCACCATTCTGCCCGTTCCCTCCGCTCAGTGGGCTCCAACCTGCTTCACATTCCCCGCCTCACCCACCACAGCGTTGGCGCGCGGGCCTTCTGCCACTCTGCTCCCACCCTCTGGAACTCCATCCCGCAGTCCCTCAGCCTCGCCCCCTCCCTTACCTCCTTCAAGGCCCATTTCAGGACCCTCCTCTTCGACCGTGCGCTCGATCGCCCTCCTTCCCCCTCTGCCCTCCACCCTCCCCAGTCCTGACCCCCAGCTCGGTCCGAAACACTGACTGTCCAGTGCCTTGGGACGTCCTCCCGATGTGAACCGCCCTATTCAAATGGAATTCTGTTGTTGTTGTAATAATAGTCGTAATAATTATATTATAATTATATTATTATATTAATAATAATGACTGTTTACTAATATTCCCTTCAGGCCACAATGGCTGCAAACAATATGACTGTGAAGATGCTTTGTTCGTTTAATTGTTTGCTTAATAAATGAAATGTGTATCGTAATTAATCATTCGACAGACCGTTACACATCATGTTTACCGCGCGTTGTTATGATCTGGAACACACGGCCTGAGAGTGGTGGAAGCAGATTTGATAGTGACTTTCAAAGGGGAATTGGATAGATACTGGAAAAGGAAAACTGCGCAGAGCGATGGGGAAGGGCGATGGGGAAGGGCGGGGGAGTCGGACTAGTTGGTAGCTCTTTCAAAGAGCCGCGCAATGGGAATGGATGGCCCTCCTTTCTGTGCTGTCAGCTTCTGGTTCTTGGTTTAAACATTGTACGCGGTGAACGCAATGCAAACTTACACTTGTGTAACGCCTTTCACGTCGGGAGGACGTCCCAAGGCCCTTCACCGCTGCTCGGTGAAGCTAAGCAGTAACACTGAAATATTCACGAGCTTGAGCTTAGCAACCGGGTAACAAAACCAGCGTTCTGGTCAGAGCCACGTTTACCGGGTGCTGGTAATGTGCACTATTGTATTGTGAAAATCAACACCTCGGTGCAATTGAAAATGACAGAATTAAACCGATAAGTGCCTTGACCAGCTCCTGAGCACCCCGCGCGCTGCTGGTAACGTGACTGTAATTGTGGGCGAGCAAACCTAACGCAGGTCACAATCCCCCAAAAACAATCATCGGCTCACTTCGCTCCACGACTGGTCGCGGGACGCTGCTGCGAGCCATCGGCGGCCGCGTTTCACCCGCAAAGCGGTCCCGTTCGCTCGACAGTACATTCTGGGCAGCGGTTTGAGACGTCCCGACCATCACGTGCAACGGTTATTATCCTTAAAAGGTTTGAGAGAGAGGGAGTCCTGTTAGGTCAGAGCGGGGGTGGGGTGGGGGGGGTCTGATCCCAGCAACACCTGTTAAACAACAATTCATTATATCCATATAGCGCCTATCAACTCAGTAGCCCAAAAGTAGCCAAGTAGCCCAAAAGTGGTCCATATCTTGTGCATCACCTCCTATGTGCATTACAGTGGCTGATTGGGGTCAGTGCTTTTGAAACTGTAAGAAAAGGTCTTCAGGTGTTGATGTTTTGCAGGTTAAAATTCTACTTTTTTCCAAAACACCCGCAACCCGCCCACAGCCGTGTTTCTTTTCACGCCCAAGGCCACAAAAAGCCGCCCCCCCCTCCCCATTGGGCGTGAACCTGAAGCGCTGCGTGAAGGCGGCGTCGCGCGCCGCCACTGGCCGTTTGTAAGCCCAACGGACGGTGCAGACGTCACTCGCCCTGACGCTGAACGTCGGTCCCGCGCCGTCGTCGCGCGTCCGCGTCACTTCGCCGAGCGCGGTGACGTCAGGCAACCCCTGACCCCCCACGGCCCCGCCCCGCCTCCTGCGTCACGTCAGCGGCCGCGGCGGCGGAGGGGCCGAGGAGATCCCGCCAGCGGGGAAAAGCGGGGACGTCCGTCACCATAGCAACAGCCCGTACAGTCGGAAAAGACGGGAGCCCCCGGGAGCCGGGTAAATACCGGGTATCAATCAGCGATCGTCAACAACCGGGTAAAAACACTGCAACCCGGGGGGTAAAAATAGTCAGCGGGTAACAGTCCACAGCAGCAAAGCCCACACAGTGAGTGAGAAAGAACAGGGCAAGAAGTCAGTGTAAAATCAGGGCAGACGGTTCACCGCAGAGAAACACATAGAATCAGCCACACAGACATCACAAACAAACCCCGGGGGGGAACACCGGGTAAGTGCAGCCCTCCCCCGCCCGCGCCGGACACCGCGGCTCATCACGGCTCAAAAGGGCTTCGCGGGATACGCTGTAAAGTGGATATGGGGCTGTGCCGTGTGGGCGGAACAACAACAACAACAACAACAACAAGATTCCATTTATAGAGCGCCTTTCACGTCAGGAGGACGTCCCAAGGCGCTGCACAGTTGGGTCATGACCCGAGCAGGGGGGAAATGGTCAGGGTGAGGGGAGGGAAGGGAGGGAGCGAGGAGGGGGGAAATGGTCAGGGTGAGGGGAGGGAAGGGAGGGAGCGAGGAGGGGGTTGAGAGTCGAGAGGGGAGCTGAAGGCTCGGTCAAAGAGAAAGGTTTTGAGACCGGCCTTGAAGGAGGAAAGGGAGAAAGCGGCGAAGGCACTGGGGGATGGAGTTCCAGAGCCTGGGGGCTGAGAGGCTGTAGGCCCGACCACCAATGGTAGGGCGGTTGGGGCGGGGGATGTGGAGCAGACCGGAGCCAGAGGAACGGAGGGTACGGGCAGGTACGTGGGGGGATAGTAGGTCGGAGAGGTAGGAGGGAGCAAGGCCGTGAATGGCCTTGTAGGTGAGGATGAGGATCTTGAATTTGATCCTCTGGGGGATGGGGAGCCAGTGGAGGTGAGCGAGGGTGGGAGTGATGTGGTCCTGGTGCGGGACAGTACACGAGCTGCAGAGTTCTGAATGACCTGCAGCTTGTGGAGGGAGGTGGCGGGAAGGCCGGCGAGGAGAGAGTTCCCATAGTCCAGCCTTGAGGTGACAAAGGCGTGGACCAGGGTTTCAGCAGCGTGAGGGGTGAGGTAATGCCGTAGTCTGGCGATGTTCCGGAACGTCAACCACGAGAGTGCAAGGAACCAGAGTAAAAAAAAATCAACCGCAGGGCGACGAGGGGGGGAGACCGGGGCAAACCGCACGTTACCGTGGACGGAGAGTTGGGGTGAATGAAGGACCCGCGAGTACGTGGCAAAGGGGCAGATAAGAGAACCAGAGCCACAGTTACGGTTCGCTGCTGTGGCACCACCGTTATTTGTAGTCCTGTAGCTTCGTGGTTGGAGCACTCGCCTCACAAGCGAAGGACCTGGGTTTGATTGCCGGGCAGCGGGGCAAAACATTGGGCAAGTTTCCTTACTCCACACGCCTCTGTTTACCCAGCAGTAAGTAGGAACCCTGTTATTAGACGATTGGTGGATCGCTTTTGTGGGAGTAATAATCCTTTAAAAATAATAATAGTTTGGTCGCTTAATCCGTGACTGTTTGTGTGACACTGCCGTGTGCAATTGGCTGCCGTGTTTCGCCCACAAAACATACATTCGATTCTCTGCAGTGTATTCTGTGAAGCGCTTTTCAGATGTCTAGAAGACGTGATAAGGCTCTATGTCAAATACAAGGATTATTATTATTTGGGTAGTGGCTGTTTGCGAAAACCATCACTACTTTCCATGGACAACTGTACAGTGTAATCATGCCACGTACAATGTTTGCATGAATGATGATGGCAACAAACTTAGCATCAATCCAGCATTTACCAACATTTGTTTTGATTGAGTCACCATTAGTAAACCCGGAGAAAAAAAAGTTGTGTCTTTAGATGAATTAACTAAAATTAATATTTTTTTCTTTGCTTACTAGGCTCTGCTTACAATAGGTGTTGTGTTGAGTATGCCAGCAGGGAAGACTTATTTGCAGATATGTCTTCTTCTTGCCCACCACAATCTCCAGCTGTTGCAAAAACAGAGATCTTGCTGGATGGTGAATCACCATTGGTAGCTGCTACTTTTGCTTATTGGGATAACATTCTTGGTCCAAGAGTGAGACACATCTGGGCGCCAAAGAATGAACAGATGCTGCTAAGTGACGGAGAAATAACATTTCTGGCAAACCACACACTAAATGGAGAAATTCTTCGAAGTGCCAAAAGTGGTGCAATTGATGTCAAATTCTTCGTACTTGCTGAAAAGGGGGTAATCATAGTGTCATTAATATTTGACGGCAATATGAATGGTGACCGGAGTACTTATGCACTATCAGTCATACTGCCACAGTCTGAACTTAGCTTCTACCTACCTCTGCACAGAGTATGTGTGGATCGACTGACACACATTATTAGAAAAGGAAGGATATGGATGTATAAGGTAAGTTTGTTGAAAAGTTGCATTAATACAGTAAATGTTGTCTGTTAGAAAACTATCCTCTGTCTTCAAGATGTTGTCAGAGGGATGTCTAGTCTAAATATTTGTTCCCACATTGCCTTAACCATTAGTTGTAGGCCCTTGGGGTAATACAGTGAAGAAATGAACCCAAGTGTCAGCAATGAGCTCTGAGCAGTGAATAGACAGGGCTCAGTATTGAAAATAATTGTCTCAGTTGGAATCTTATAGAGAAATATAAGATTCGAAAAACTAATTGTGAAGGTAAACCTATAACAATACTTTCAAATGCGCTAAGAAATAGAATAGATAGTTTAGGGTAATAAATAGCAACTTCAGATACGGGAAATATTTCTTTACCTAGAATGCAATTAACTGGAATGGGTTACCAGGAAGGGTGGTTGAGGCCAGGCCCCTGGTCTCATTTACAACGTTGATGATGTGATAGGACGGTTGAGTGGATGTTCTGGAAGGATGATATCAAATGGGTCAAAAGACATCTGAACTTCTCTTCTGAATTAGATGTTGCCTCCAGTGTTATGAATTCCACTCTGCACTGTAAAATTAGCACCAGCCATTTTAGGCTTCCTATTTGGGCTTATTATAGATCTTTAATGTGAACCAGTCTTTATATAGTGAAGTAGAGTTTGTGTAATACAGTAACATATTATGGATACTAGATATGCATATATATTATATATATAAATGCTGTGCCACAGAGTGGTAGGAAGGGTGTGGGCATTAGATTCCCTCTACAGAGGATCCTCACGTCAGGACGAGCCATTATGGAGACATGAGACCAGGTATTTCAGATTCAGAACTGCCTCTCAAGTGCCTCTATATACAAGTTTACCTCTGTTTTTGTTGATACCCTTGCGTTTAATTTATACACTTTTTTTTATATAGGGGCAGAGCATAATTTCCTTCTTAACAACAGAAATCACTCCTGTTATGGAATTATTTTCATCTATGAAAGCGTATGGCGTTGTGGAAGAAGTTCAAGTAAGTTTTGGTTTAAATTCCAAAGGCATGATCTTGTATTATGCATAAATATTGGATTCGCTTTAGTGGTTTATCGCATCAAAATATCTCATAGACCTTTCTGTAAAGTAGATTGGTTGTTTATTTGTTGGTGAACACAGCAACCAATTTCTACACAGAAATATCCTACCAGCAGCACTAAAAAAAGACCCGTTTCACATTGTTGAGCCGTCTCAAAGTGCTTCACAGAATATTTATTTCAGGATTGTTGGCCAGGACACACAGAGAAACTCCCTTCTCTTTTCGAATAGTATCATGGTATCTTTAACGTCCACCTGAACTAGCAGATCGTTTAACATTTCATCCAAAGGATAGCACTGCAACAATGCAGTGCTGGGTTTTTGTATTGGTGTGTCAGTTTAGACTGAGTTTAAAGCCCCAATATTGCACTTGAACCTACAACCTTGTGATGCAGAGGTAAGAGTGCAACCAAGTGAACCAGTCTGATGGATGTACGACTGAAGAGTCTTTAATAATTACTTTAAACTGTCTGCTCTGAAATTTCATTGGCTGACTCTGAGGAGAACGCTGCCCATTTACAACTGGGTCAGTGTGTATAGCTGAGCTCAAAATGATAGTTGCTTATTACAATATTTCTTAAAGTTATTAAAGAGATAGACTTTCTGCAATGTTAGTTAGCAAATATTAAATAACAGTTAACAAATATTGAACAGTTAACAAATATTGAACATTAGATATGGGTCATTGCATTCCATCTAGGTCCACTCAAATATATTTGAATGCAGCTTCTCCCTGCCCATCTAATGTTAAACGTTTACTAACTGTTAAAGCTTCCCATACTCGCTTCATTACCTCTGATGTTTCCCCATTACTTCTAAACACTTAAATGTAAACATTTCAAAATTATGGTATAAATGAATATTAAATTGAGTATTCATCAATTACATTTTTCATTTAGATCAAGGAGACTGTGCTGAATGATGATGATATTGGAGATAGCTGCCGTGAAGATTTCCTGCACAAGTAAGTGTTGCATTTGTCTGACATGTGGTAACCAATCACCATGCTTGAGTATCCAAACTACATTGATAGTTCCACATATGCATGCCACCAACACATAGAAGTAAGTTAAGCAGAGTATCCTACTAAGTTAGCAGCATGCTCACCTCTGAGGCGCTATCCTGCGTGGAAGGCGCTATATAAGTGCAAGTTGTTGTTGTTGAAGGTTATGGGTTCAAGCCCCACTTTGTGAATTGAAGCCCATATTATCAAAGCATATAATCCAATGCAGTGCTGGGGGTGTGCTGCATTGTTGGAGATCCTGTCTTTTGGACGACACATTAGACAGAGACCCTGTCTGCTTGTTCAGGTAGACATTAAAGATCCCTTTTTGAAAAGTGAGAGGAGTTTCTCCTGTTGATTTGGCCAATAAGCCCCAAATAAAATTGTTCATTCATTTCATGGCTGTTGTGGGACATTGCTGTGCTCAAATTGGCTGTCACATTTGCCCACAAAAAAACACCATGGGGCATATATATTCTACATATATGCTATGTGTAGTTACTACACGTTACAGTATATCCTGTGAAGCACTTTGAGACGTCCTTCCAACATGAAAGGTGTTATGCTAAATGGAAGGATTATTATAATTATTTTACTGCTGCTTTACTGTATCGCAGTAGTAGAAAGGGAGTTAAATGCTTTCACGTCAATTTATAATTGGGATGGGAATGAAAAAGGGGAAAGGAAGTGCACAGTGAAAGGAAGGCATCACAGTGTACTATTTTATGGTTGGCTGACGTGTAGCCCATATATGCCCATGTACACAGAGTATATAGATATTGAGCTCTGCCAATAGGGGGCAGGCTATTTGCACATTGAAACTTATGCAACTGTTGTGCGCAATTGGCTGCCGCGTTTCGCCCACAAATATACAGTCAATTCACTTTACAGTATATTCTGTGAAGCACTTTGAGATGTCTAGAAGACGTGAAAAGCACTATATCAAATGCAAGGATTATTATTGTTTTCTGCCGCTCTTGTTGGGCTTGACACCAAGGTTTGCATATTTACCGGGTAGACGTGTTTATGGACCTTGTATAATATAATGGCTGATCATTATGTAGCTGGGTAAATGGTAAACTTAGCTATTATAATGTTATATGCCCATAATTGAGGGCACCGTCCTAAAATGTAAAAGAAAAAAGTGTTCTCTCATTTGAAGTAAATAAAAAATTTAAATGCTTAATTTTTCAGGTACTTGTATCAAATGAAGTGCAGATTCTTGTCACAAGCTCATCTCATAACTATTACATGAGTATCTTACAATAATTAGATGTGTATGTTTTGATTTACAGAGCCATTAGCTCTCACCTACAGACATGTGGATGCTCTGTTGTTATCGGAAGCAATCCAGATAAAGTAAACAAGGTAGTTATTTCCTTTCACTTGAGCTTCTGATTACACTACTTTATATTTACATCAAATTATCTTTTCATAAAATTAATTGCTGTAACTGCTGCTGTTGTACTCCATGTTTATCTTTACCATTTCACCTTTGAAAACAAACACCTGTCTGTAATGCCTTATTATGCTAACACCTCAAATGCCTGCTTTTGACAGGTGGGCTTTCAGCAATTCTGCCCCCATTCTCTGGAATTCATTCCCTCCCTCCCTCCCTCCCTCCCTCCCTCAAGCCTGTCTCAAAACATGCCTCTTTGACCATACTTTCAGTCTTCTTTCTACTCCCCACTCACTCGGCCCCCACTCCCAGCTTGAGTGGGGAGTGCAGCTAACATACTCTGCATCCAGTGGACCATGGCTACTTATTCTTAATGTGTCCCTCAGTCTACGTGCCTTTCTTCATCAAGGAGGAAGCTGCAAAAAATTCTAAGATGTAGAAACTCGGAGGAAAGATATAGAAACTCGGAGGAAAGATATAGAAACTCGGTAGAAAGATGTGTGGATAGATGTGCAGGAAAAAGAAAACAAATTCCAAGTCAAGGAGAAGGAGAGCAGAGAGGTGATTCCTGAGTTGCTGACTTGTGGAGAATAAACACCAGCACGGACTGGTTGGGATGAATGTCCTGTTCCCTGTACAGGCTGTGTAAATCTATGTTAGCGCTCAGTCAATAGTGTCATGGGCTTTGGGAAATGTTTCACAGGTAATTATCAAGTACAGTCACTTTTTGCAGGCAAACAGGAATATTTTGGGTTCAAGCCTCATGTCAAGGCTTTGAACTTTATGCTGACACTCCGGTGTACTATTGGGGGTGTGCTGCATTGTTGGAGGAGCCACTCTTTGGAGGTGACGTTAAACTGAGATCCTATTCAGATGGCCATTGAAGATACCATTGCATTATTCAAAAAGAGAAATGAGTTTTTTCAGGGTATCCTGGGGTCAGCAATCCCCCAGATAAAATTAGTCATTCACTTTGTTTGTGGGACATTACTGTGTGCAAATTGGCTAACATGTCTGCCTGCCAAATATACAGTCACTACACTTTACAGTATATCCTATGAGGTGCTTTAAGATGTTCACCCAACATGAAAGGTGCTATATCAAGTGCAAGGATTATTTATTATAGATAGTATTTCCATTCAAGTTCTCCAATATCAATAAGATCTATCCAACTATATTTTCTATTCGCTTTATGTAATCTTGGTAACTTCACATGAAGACTTCTGACCACTCTGTTTACCTAACATTATAACAGTAGCTGATTGGTGCAAGCTTAGAGCTAGTTAAGGTCATAGATAAATTATGTTGCTCAAGGGTTTTGGAGATTATCTGAGTGGAACCAGTTGTTTGAACTTCTATGAAGCCTGCAGTCATAAAGTACAAGACTGTTCTCTTCATTATATAATCTCTTTTTAAATAAAAATTAAAACACAGGCCATAGAATTTGTAGAATTTGTCATATTCCTGAAAGAACATTTCAAGTATATATGGATGCAGTAAGTTTCTACCCATTTTTATAGTTTTCCGACCTTGGTTAGTTCTCCTGGGTTTCAAACATGGGGTGGTCCATCTCGCAAACCTCGGTATGCCTCTCCTTAGGTTATAAGTGCACAATTGGCTGCCACGTTTTACCCACAAAATATACAGTCAATTCACTACAGTATATTCTGTGAAGTGCTTTGAGATGTTTCAAAGACGTGATAAGGCTCTATATCAAATGCAAGGATTATTATATTGTGAGTGGGGCAAAAAGCACATTCAAAACAGCAACAGTAGTAGTCTAAGGTGTAAAATTTCAAAACCGAAGTTATGATTGCAGGCAGCATTTTTCTTTAAAACTGACAAAAGGCCGAAAAGTTTTGACTAAAGGCTGGAAAGTAAACCTTTGCTTAACTGTTACTCACCAGGTGTTCTGTAACATTTTTGAACATTTGACAGATGGTCCGCACTCTGTGCCTCTTCCTGACTCCGGCAGAACGGCAGTGCTCACGACTTGCCAATGCCAATGGCTCTTTCAGATATGACCCAGGTCTTTTTGTTCAGGGCCTCTTAAAGGTAAGGCATTTTTAGTACTCTATTTGCTTTTCAGCATCCACCCAATGTTTTGTAATCTATACCGTTAATGTAAGGTATCGTTGCTTGATCATGAGAGCAGGCAAATAACCTGTTGTTCATAACTGGTGATTGTAGGCATTACACTTCACAGTAAAATCCTGTGGAGCGCTTTGAGACATATCAACAAAGTAATGAGGCACCGTGCGAAATGCAAGGATGATTATTATTTTATGCATGTAATAATCATAGTAGTAATTTTCAAAAACAGGGTTCACTTACTTTATAAATAACTCACTCCAAAATGGTTCATCTCAAACTCTTTATAGTTTCTTTGCTCTTGTCTGGGTGTCAGACAAAACAATCCACAAGACATTAGATCATTTAGGATCAACACAGCATATCCACATGAGCATAAATTATGTAATATTAAAGGCTGAGATTGTTTATTGTGAATATAACATTCATTTCTCTTATAATTATCTTCTGGACTACAGTAATTGGAAGTATACACCGAAAAGCTGGTTTATGTTCCAATTATTGTAAAAATGGAAACTTTAAAACAAATTGCAATTCCTCTGATCCTGTCCCAAAGCAAATCAACCTAAAATCCTGAGCTCACCTTCAGATGTCTCTATGACCTCGCACCACCCTATATTTTAGATCTCCTGAGAATGTATCAGCCATGTCTACTCCACCAAGTCTGGCCTGCTTCATGCCCCCCTGTATGCTACACCTCACCATCAACAGTCGAGTCTTCAGCTACTTTACCCCGACCCTTTGGAACTCTCTCCTGATATCCACCCTCCTCATCCCTTTGCTTTCTGCTTTTTAAATTCCACTCGAAAACCTACCTCTTTGACTGAGTATTAAGGATTATTATTATTTGGCCATCTTTCCCCCAGCCTCCTCCCAGGTTGGGCTTCAGTTCAGTCTTTGTAAAACACTTTAAGACGTTCTTCTAAATGTGAAAGGTGCTAAATAATTCTATATTAAGATTGCTTCAACATATTTGTGTTTTTTGGTTGAATTGGGTTGATCCTCCAATGCAGTGCTGCATTGTTGGAGATGCCATCATTTCGATGAGCCTTTAAACTATTGATGTGGATGTTAAAGCTCCCATGGTGCTATTTGAGAAGAGAAAGTTTTTTCGAGTGTCATGATTAACAGTCCTCCAGAGAAAACAATTGGTCGTTCACTTCATGGCTGTTTGTGGAACATTGATGTGCACAAATTGGATACCACCCTTGCCTGCAAAATACACGGTCACTATACTTACAGCAGTAATCTTCTTGGTCAGCCAACCAAATAAATTTATTTTTATTGAATATTTCTTGATTCATGACCATAAATATCGTTACTCAGTAGCTACTGGCAAAAGAAATATTGATTTAACACATGTTTACCTAGACTAATGCGAATTTTCAGCGGGCTGCTTCTTCGCACTAGTCTAATTAATTAAGTCTGTGTGAACTGCTCCACTCCCCCACCCCCCCCACCCCCGTGGGTTGGCCACAATTGCTTTACAGTAAGTCCTGTAAAGCACTATGAGACGTTCTTCCAAAGTGGATAATGGTCTATCAAATGCAAGCATTATTATATTATGTGAACTCTTTTAAGTAAATTCATGAACCTGCTTTCATTGTTGCTGAAAGAAAATACTTAAAACTCAACGCTTTGTATTGAAACAAATATGTTTCGTATTGTTTATCTTTTCAGGATGCTACTGGTAGCTTTGTGTTGCCTTTCCGTCAAATTATGTACGCTCCATACCCAACTACACACATTGACGTAGATGTTAACACAGTGAAGCAGATGGCCCCATGCCATGAACATATCTATAACCAGCAGCATTACATGACATCAGAACTTATAGTACTTCAAAAGATTGCATCAGAAGACGACATGATTCCTGATACTGTAATTCATATGGATGAAAGCTTTACACCTAATCTGTATGTATTCTTTTTCATAAAATGTGCCAATGTAAGGGGTATATAGATTTATAATCGTGATCGTTGAATTGAGACTGAAATCCAGAGTTGAACACACACAAAACTAAATTATTTTGCCTTTGTGGAGTCTTATAGTGTAGAAGTTAGAGCACTCCCCTCGCAAGCAAGAGGACTCAGGTTCGATTCCTGGGCAGGGTGAAACCTTAGGCAAGTTTCCTTATTCCACACCTCTGTTTACCTAGCAGTAAGTAGGATCCCGGTTGTTGGTCGATTGGCGAATCGCTTTTCGGAGGTAATAATCCCTTACCCCCCCCCCCCCCAAGAAGAATTTGGTCCCTCAATCGTTTGTGGGACACTGCTGTGCGTAATTGACTGCTGCGTTTCTCCCAAAAATTATAGAGTCAATTCACTTTACAGTATATTATCTGAAGTTCTTTGAGACATCTCTACGACCTGTGGAGTCCTGTAGCTCAGTGGTTAGAGCACTTGCTTTGCAAGCGAGAGACCTGAGTTCAATTCCAGGCAGAGGGCGAAACCTTGGGCAAGTTTCCTTACTCCACACAGAGCCTAATAATAATCCCTCCAAAACCAAAAACAATAATAAATTGGTCATTTTCAATCTACGACTGTTTGTGGGACACTGCTGTGCGCAATTGGCTGCCGCGTTCGCCCACAAATATAATATCAATTCACTTTACAGTGTGTTCTGTGAAGCGCTTTTGGACGTCCTCCCGACGTGAAAAGCGCTATATCAAATGCAAGGATTATTATTATTATTATTATTATTTGTAACATTAACGAAAAATCCTATCTATAAACCTAACATTGCTGAATTATTTTTTTTTAAAAGTGTGGGGAATTTTTGGAATTGTATTTAAAAATACAATTATAAGATACTGAAACTTCAATCACCTTTAGAAGTCCAATTGTTCTGGTCAGATTTCAAGCCATCTTCCCATTTGTGCCATTCAATATGTCAATATCTTGCAACTTTTGAGGTTTGCATTTGCTATTTGGTACCTAATTATTTTTTATCCTATTTTACCAACAGGAATATCTTCCAGGATGTGATGCATCGAGACACATTAGTGAAGTCATTTTTAGATCAGGTATGGAATAATATAAGTATAATAGTAAGTATAAATAATTTTCATTAATATTGTATTCGGAGGTAAAAATTCTTGTTCAAGTACTATAGGGAACCCCCTCCCATTATAATGTGTTTTTCGTATCCATAAAGATATAACATCTGCAAAAAAATGGCTATCAGTTCCACTGCCACCTACATCACTCCCAGTTTCTGCATGGATCAGCTTGCTTTCTGTCCATGAATCTGGCTGGTCAACCGCGATAATCCTTGTGATCGTTTCTAGCACAAGAAATGCATGTGTGAGCGACCAGCTTCCTGCCTATATTGGAGAGTCCTGTAGCGTATTGGTTAGAGCACTCGCCTCGCAAGTGAGTGGGCCTGGGTTTGATTCCCAGGCAAGGCGAAGTCATAGACAAGTTTCCTTACTCCACATACCTCTGTTTACCTAGCAGTAAGTAGGAACCCGCTTGTCAGTTGATTGGCAGATTACTTTTCTCGGGTTTATAAACCCTTCAAAAAAAAAATTTTTAAAAAAGATAAAATAATTTGATAACTCAATCCACTACTGTTTGTGTTTCGCCCCTAAAATATAGTCAATTTGTAAAACTTTCTTACAAAACAAATGACCCTTTTGAATTTTTAATCATTTTGAGCTTTCATGTAAAGCTGCTGCTTTTGATATAATTTGTACAACGTACAGTATACTTACAATATATTCTATGAAGCGCATTGGGACGTCTCAAAGATAATAAGGCATTATATCAAATGCAGTGATTATTATTAATATTATTATGAAAATGCAGGGAGCCAGTTGGTCCACACCAGAAACCAGAAGTGTACTGCATTTTCAATAATGCACAAGAAACCAGGGTTATAAGTGAACTCTCGCTCCAGCAAGATGTTTTCTAATGGGGTTGTTTTGTAAAACTTTCAACTTTTGTAATTGAAGTGTTCTCGGTAATTGCTCTGCAATTTTAATGTTTAAAACATTTCACAAGATCACAAGACTAGTTTGGATGAAAAGGCCCTTCGGCCCATCTGATTTAATCCTTCCAGAACACCTATCCCACCATCCACCCATCACAGAATCAAGCTGTTCTTTAAATGAGTTCAGTGTCTTTACTTCAACCACCCTCCCTGGTAACCCGTTTCAGTTGTAAATTACCCAGTGGGTAAAGTACAAACTTTCTTACAAAAAAAATGATCCTTTTGAATTTTTAAGCATTTTGAGAGCATTATGTAAAGCTGCTGCTTTTGATGGAATTTGTAAAACTATAATTGCAAATGTCAATTTTTTTTTAGATTTTTCAGCTGAAGTCTGGTTTATCCCTGAGGAGCATTTTCTTGGCACAGTTTCTTCTTGTTCTCTACAGAAAAGCTCAAACAGTGATAAAATACATAGAGGATGAAACGTATGTTAAGCTTTATTTTTGATTCTCACTGTTTTTAAAAACGTATGGGGATGAAATTCCACCTGGGTCTTTTTTTGCATCTCAAGGCCTGCAGAATTTGGGAACTTGTTAAATTCAATCTTATTTTTGAAAACGTTTTTCTGCAGTTCTTGAAAGATTTTTATTTACAGAAAACCGGCTTCAAAATTCAGACAGTATTTAAGAATTTACTAAATTCTGGACGCTTTGAATAGCCACATAAATAAGAGTAAATCTGGATTTAGGTGAAATTTCTATCTTGTTGTGCTTTACAGGTGTTAAGGGTACTTTCATCAGAGTCTCTGATGCTGAGGGAGTTTAAATGTAAACCCTTTTCCAATTTTGCTTTTAACAACTAAAATCTTGTCAGTAGGCTGTCCGTTGCTGACAGTTTGATAAAATTATGCATTCCGGGAAGCTACCTTGTGTGAAGGACACTATATAAATGCAAGTTTTTTTTTTAAACTGGAGCGGGAAACACATTGAAATGTAAAAATCGGTTTATGTATGGTATACTCTCAATAACACAACAAGGCTGACTGTTTCATGAACTGCAGGTGAATGTTTAAAACAGTTACAATGTTGCCTTGATACAGTTTCGCAGCCAAAATACACAATACAGTCACTACATTTTACAATATATTTTGTGAAGCTCTTTGAGATGTCTCAAGGACACGATAAGGCGCTATATCAAATGCAAGTATTATTATTAAGGCTAACTGGCTAATTAATTTTTTTTTTAAAGTGCAATTGGTGAAGAGACTGGGGATTTGAGATTTGAACTGGTACAGTTTGAATACAGTTTAATATGGTTTGAACTGAATAACTGTTTAGATGTCCTCCTGACATGAAAAACACTATACAAATGTAAATTTGTAATGTATTGATAGCATTCGTTTCCATTGTTCAGTGTTCATATTTTATAATAAATAATAACAATAATCCTTGCATTTCATAAAGCTCCTTATCACACCGTCTCAAAGTACTTCACAGGATTTATTGTAAAGTGGAATAACCGTGCGTGTATTTTGCAGGCGAATTCAACAGGCAATTTGTGCACAGCAATGTCCCACAAATAACCATGGAGTGAGAGACCAATTTTTATTTGTGAGATTGTTGGTCAGGATATCGGGAGAAAAGCTCCCTTCTCTTTTTGAATAGTGCCATAGACAATCCGATGGGATATCGGTTTAATGTCTCATCAGCAGGACAGAACCTCTAAATGCAGCGCAGCCCCAGTACTGGAGTAGAGTATATGGGTTCCAAATCCAGATGTGGGACTGGAACCCACAACGTTCTACCAAGGCCAGAGTGCGCATTTTGTAAGCGCAAGGACTGCTCAGTTTCGTTTCAGCCACATAACAATGCTTATCTCCCCCCAAAAAAACAGTAGGTCACAACAAGATATGATGCCTTTAATACTTGTTGAATATTGCATGAAAATGGAGAACGTGAAAATCATTTAAGTTAGTCCTGCAGTTTATATCCCAATACACCATTTCCAGCTGATTTAGCAGGACTCCCTATAGTTTATTTGGATTTTAGAGTTCAGAAGCATTCTCACGGTTTGAAGGCCTTATTAGCAAATCTAGTTCAAGTTCTCTTAAGGGAATGTTACATAAATTAGATGCAAATGGAAAACAAACAAACTTGAGTCCTTCCTACCCAAAACAATAAACTGTTTTTATTTTATTTCCTTGTTTGTATACTGATCAACCTATTGTGTGTTTCTAGCTTTTTAAAAACATTATATTTCATTGGGCTGCATCTACCTAATGTATCTACCAGGGCCGCAAGACGATAAACTACATAGTGTGCACTATGGTGGTTTGGAAATTACAGTTAGTGATTTTCAGTCTGGCCGTGGATCTTATCGTTTGTCAAATGCTGTAACAAACAACAGCTTCATAGTTATCTGATCACAGTGATTTAAAAAAAAAGTTCAGATAAATAAAAGCATAACATTCATAAATAATTGTTTATAAACTGTAAGATGCTTTGGAATTCATAATGTGTAGAACTTGCGAATTAGTTAAAATGCTGGTTGGAGATGGGAACTCTTCAATAATTTACATTATTTAGTTAACAGTTCAAAAATGGCAACTGCATAAGAAGGAATAGACAGTTAAATAACCTTATTTTTCCCCCTAAAAATACTGTATTGCTTAAATAATCAGCTTACAATCTTGTTATGAAAAGTTGATATTTTTTAGCTCCATAAATATAGTGACTGGTTTGAGGAACGGAGCTGCAATTGTGCAATTTTGAGATAGTTGTCCTTATGCTTATTTTTACAGTAAATCTGTTGTGCATCAGTTATCTCCAGTAGGTGTCCCCATTCAGCAACATTTAGCAAACATTAGCTTTAAAATTAGGTAGAGATACATTTTGACCCACATAACTGATGCCTTTTCAGGAAAAGGAGAGGGTGACTCTTGCTGTATTATGTTTAACTCCCAAAAAAACACAGCAAAAGCAGTATGAGGCTGATCAATAAACACAGCAAACAGGATTACGAGTTACATTCATATTAATTCAATATAAACCTGAGAAGTTATGCTTAAGCTACGCAGTGCTCTGCTCAAACCCTATCTAGAATCCTGGGCTCCAGCAAAATCAACACAGCGTTATGAAAAGTATGTTACTTATGACCTGGGCCAGTAGAAAAGTGCGGCCGCACTTTTTCCATGGAATCCGCTACAAACAACCCTCCACCACAAACCCACTATAAATGTAGTTTCTTGCCCGCTGTTTACTTGATGTCACTGTGGGCGGGGCAGCTCCTGACGCAGATGCACGGTGTGTCTCTGAGTGTGAGAGTGCAGGATTGTGTGTATGTATCTGTATGCTTTTTTGAGTATCTGTGTGTGTGTCTGTGTGTTTGTCTCTCTGTTTGTGAGTGTCTATGTGAGTGTGTCTCCCTCTGAGTGTTTGTCTCTGTGTGTTTGTGTGTGTGTGTCTATGTGAGTGTCTCTCTCTCTCTTGTCTGTGTATGTGTGTGTCTCTGTGTCCGCGAGTGTGTGTGTGTCTCTCTGATGTGTGTATACGCGTGTGTCTCTGTATCAGTGAGTGTGTGTGTGTCTCTCTGGGTCTGTGTGCGGTGCTGGCCTGAGAGCTCCTGTAGTCTCACTAGTGTCCCCGCGCCCCCAAAAGCCACTCAGTTTTTGTTAAAGAAGCAATTATTTTTTCTTCAGCAATCTAATGTGTTATTTCCTCATGTTTAGTTTTTATCAATAAAGTGAAAAAATGTAGCTTGGCAGTAACATGTAGTACAATAGCACTAATCAACTCCCCACCATTTTCTGCAAAATTTGTCAAAAATCCCTCTGCAATTTTCCAAACCTTGACACAATTTTGGGCAAATATTTCCGCACTTTTCTGTTGGCCCAGCTTATGACCACTCTAAAACCCTGCCTCTTGTAATTTGATCTTGAATCAAGACTGCAATTAACAAAACATGTACCTTTTGCACAATGACTGTTTAGAAAAGTTGTTCAATGTATTTCAGCTAAAATCGTCTCCCCATTTTGATTTAAAAAATGCCTTTAATGGTATCTTCATAGTGCATTTGTAGGATTCCATAAAGAGTAGTTAAACAGAAAAGAAACACTCAGATGTTAATGTCATGTCAGTAGACAGTGACAGGCTCAACGGACAGCATTCAACAATACAAGATGTGCATAGTAAGAGTCAGTAGTTTTACTGTGAGTGGTTAGTCAGATGTATTTTAAAAAAAGTCTGAGATGGGGGTTGTAAATAATTTTGGGGTACTAATTCCCATATCACCCATACTATTGTGCTGACATAATGCGCTTTTCTGTTGTTAATTTTTAGATTCCATCTGTCTTGTGGTACAGCTGGGTATAAAAGGGCTGCTATTGAGAGGGAACATGGAGTTTTTCTCCCAATTATCCTGGTTTATATTCCCCTCCTAATCCCAATTTACTCCCAAATTCAGGTTAATTGGGCTGCTTGTCTCATTATTGTTGATGTTGCTAGTGCAGTCTTGCTGCCGTGTTTGCCTGTATAACAACTTCACTTCCATTTCTAATCAATTATATTTTGTAAGGCTCTTTGAGATGTTCACTTTTATGTGAGAGCTGCTATATAAATGCGAGTTATTACTATGTTAAATACTCTCATCAATCTTTCATTCAATATACAACTGGTATCATAATTTTTTCCCCTTCTCCCTATCCTCCGCGGGGAGGGGTGGGGTGTGGGGAGAAAGGTAAGCAGAGTTTCATTGGAGCTGATCTGGCTCCAAGATAACGTGCTTAGTAGCAAAATTTCAAGATCAGGTCAACCTTCTGTGGTGATCCAAGTTCATAAGCCATGTTGATCCATAATACTCCGGGGCATGTGGAGTCCTGTAGCTCAGTGGTTAGAGCACTCGCTTTGCAAGTGAGAGACCTGAGTTCAATTCCAGGCAGAGGGCGAAACCTTGGGCAAGTTTCCTTACTCCACACAGAGCCTAATAATAATCCCTCCAAAACCAAAAACAATAATAAATTGGTCATTTTCAATCTACGACTGTTTGTGGGACATTGCTGTGCGCAATTGGCTGCCGCGTTCGCCCACAAATATACAGTCAATTCAGTTTACAGTGTGTTCTGTGAAGCGCTTTGGGACGTCCTGCCGACGTGAAAAGCGCTATATCAAATGCAAGGATTATTATTATTATTGCTGATTATAGTCTATGTGTGTCAATGGGACTTGGAGGTGTAGAGATTCACTTAGAGCAGGTATTCTTCCTCCTCTGTTCCTGTTAACCTTGCGAGGCAAAGTCGTAACGGTCCTAAGATGGACAAGCAGTGACAATGGCAAACTATGTGGTTTTAGCTGATCGAATTCCAGCAATGCTCCAATGCACACTTTGAAAAGTCTTGGCTCTTGCCAACCTGAGCCTAATCTCTCCAGAATTAGGTAAACATGGTGGGTCTCTGTGGAGTGCACATTCCATTCCAGACATGGAGATTTCAACGTGCAGGTGGCCTACAACATGGTGATGGGTTTCTACATTTGTCAGACACCCAAAAAATAACCCTCTCCCCAAAAAGGGCAAGCCAAATTGACAGAATTGCTGGTTTGTACTCTCTGCCCACTCTAAAGCGAAATCTTCACACTGCAGTTGTGATCCAACCCACAATTAAAAGAAAGTTAACCGCAGCTATTTCAATTGAATCTAGAATCTTTTAAAAAAAATTCAACACTGAAATAAAAGGGAGAGAGAAACCCTGAACTGCAAAATTCTCTGCTATCCCCCATCTAATCCCACTTCATAGATTATAAGCAGTATCACTGTAAACCCAACACAGTGCACACAGCTCATATCACATTTTCTACAAAAAAAATTCTGAAGAAGCTTCAAATTTTTTTTTACAAGATTGGAAATCAGAGGCTATTGTGTGAGCAGAATACCTAATGGTAACTCAGCGTTGATCAGATTTGTGCCATCATAATATGCTTTTGTGATGAGCATATTATCACCTGCGTTTTCATTAATTATCCTGCAGGTACTTAAGCAGTCTGTTTATCATAGTTATGTGTTTAAATACCTTGCATTTTACAACTGTGCAGTTTTATTTGTTGTAACTGAAGAGCACGGAAAGTATTTTATTTGTATGTTAACTTCTGTTCTGTGTTTTCTCTCTAGTCAAAAGGGAAAGAAGCCTTTCAAATCACTGCGAAATCTGAAGACTGACCTTGACCTTACAGTAGAGGGTGACTTGAGCATTATTATGGCCTTGGCTGAGAAATTAAAACCTGGCTTGCACTCATTTATTTTTGGAAAGTCTTTCTACACTAGCGTGCAAGAACGAGATGTACTAATGTCACTTTAAATATAAATGATATGAATTGTACTTTAACATGAATAATTGTTTGCATTGCTTATTGCAAATAGCTGCTTTACGTCTTTAAATGTGCACTTTTCCTCAATTTCACAAGGAAAGAACAGAATTACTTTAGAACCCCGTTATAACTCACTTTATTATAATGCTTTAACATGCAGAAAATATCAAAGGCGAGCTGTTAAATAATCCTCGCATTTGATATAGCACCTTTCATGTCAGGAGGACACCTCAAAGTGCTCCACAGCCAGCTATTTGTCTTTCTTCAAACCCGCCGGTGTTTTGAAGTGCCACTGGAGCCAGTTGCCCGCTGCACTTGTGCGGTGAATGTGGGAGCACTAACCAGCAATCGTGCCCCATTATATAACGGGTTAGTATTTTACTTTTATAACTATTACAACTGGGCTCTACTGTACTGAAAACCAAGCTATTACTGGGGAATATTTTGAAATTAAAATAGGCTACCTGCTAATGTTGTATTGAAATGTTATTGTCTTGTTTCATACAACTGTGAAAAAGTAAATTGTTGAGTAAACTGTATTTGGTTAACATCAACATCGGAAAACCTTGGTCATGTATAAAGAATCTGTCTTGGATTTTATACACACCTATCCTATTTTACACAAGCCTCAACCCTCTTCACCCTCCTCAGCTTCCACCCTCACATTTACCCAGCCAGAATTATCAAGCCCTTTAGGACGTCATCCCAAAATGAAAGGCACGATATAAGTGTAAATTGTATTGCAAATCAAAATGTACTTTTGTTGTGTGCAGAAGTTCTTGCTCATGTGGTTTCAAGCAATTGTATTAGACATTTCAAAATAGGTCTCGCCCAAGCTTATCTCTCTTTTCATTTAATTATTGAAATTTAAGTATTGAAATACAACTACAGAATTAAAATACTTCACATGAATAAAATCTATTGATGTACCTTGTCACAATATTTGAAAATTTCACACACAAAATTAAAAAGCATGGAGCACATTACCCAATCGTTTATCCCGTGCACCGTTTTGAAAGCTTTAAGAATTAATGGGGTCTAAATTAAGAGGTTCCTCAAGTATCAAATATGAATTACTCAAGTACGGTGGAACTAGAATTCCCCAATCCACCCAATCTAAAACAGTTCTCAATCTATTCTGATAGACAATGTACTGAAGCTGCACAATCAATTTCTAGTTTTCAGTTAGCAGGATTGTACTTTATTAGAACTTTGACGGCACATTTTCCCATTCATTTTTCAAAGGCAATTTTTATTCATATGATTTTATGTAGAATTATTTGCCTACAAATACAGTCAATATACTTTACAGTAAATCCTGTGAAATGTTTTTGAGACATTTTGATGGCATGATCAGGCGCGATATCAAAGGCAAGAATGATTACAATGAACAAAAATTAATTATTCATTATAGCAAAAATCAGACTATTTAACCCATGTTGGTCTTTGTGTTCCAAATGAGCCTCAGCATCTCTTAAACCCATCACCGTTGTCCCTCAAATCCCTTCTCCCTAATGTGGCTAATGTTTAAAACTAGAGAGCAGGAAAAATTAGCTCATTCAAGCAGTCGCTGGATCACTGCATGATCTTCATGGTGCGGCTTTGAGTTTTTTTTATGATTAAATTTAAAGTAAAATATTTTAAATGTATTTCAGGTTATAATAAACTGGAGATGTAATCTATTACTTGTAGTGATCTGGAGATTTTGACATGTTCTTATGATCATGAAGTATGCAATATCAGTGTCAGGAGGTAAAAAGTTGCACTTCATCTGTGCACTTAGTTGCATTCTCCAAATCAAGGAATCATTTTAAAATTGTTTGAACTTTTTTTAATACTTTAGGTAGACGCAGCCTTACATTTTCCCACGTGATGCTTGCAAAAAATTTATCTGTGAATGTCAAATGCTGAATGTTATAATGAATATGAGAAATGTACAGAACCAAAAATTGTAGCTATTATCCTTGGAATAAATAAAATAATTTTTTTTTTTTTAAAAGCACACATTTTGTTCCTAAAATAGGAACAGAGGAAGAGAAGCAGAAATTCAGCTGACCGAGCCTGTTGTACAATCTTATTAGCTTATGGTATACCTTTTTCATCTTATTTTCCTATCTTTTTCCCATATGCCTCAATATCATCACTTGTCAAGTGCGTATCTCCCTTTTCAACGCCTACCTCTATGCTGCTGCAGTTCCCAAAGGGTCGGCATTCCTCGTCATGGTTACAAAATAAGAGCTTTTTGATAATTTACCCAGGCATATTTGACATGCAGGTCACTGAAGTATTGGTTCCATAAATTCCATAAATTCTTCATATTGGCCTTGGCTTTCATGTCAATATGAATGCAGTAGAAAGAGAAAGCATCTTTATCCGTGTATGGTGTGTCTCTGTGTCACGTGGGATATTCATATGGTGATCTTGTACTGCCATCCAGCTTGTACATCTCAGTGGCAGGATTCTTTGATCCAAGATAAAACTGCTGCAGCCCAAATAGGTTTGTGTGCACAGAATTCATTGACTTTAAATTGGAGATCTCACTGCACATTAATAGTGCTTACACGACCCCACTATTTCATAGAATCACAGAATTATACAGCACAGAAGGAGGCCATTCGGCCCATCGTGTCTGTGCGGGCTCTTTGAAAAGCACTATTCAAATCAATCCCACTCCCCCGCTCTCTCCCCATAGCCCTGCAAACTTGTCCTCCCCAAATAATTATCTACTCTCTTAATAGTTGTTATCGAATCGGCTTCCACCACCCTTTTAGGCAATGCATTCCAGATCTGAACAACTCGCTGTGTGAAAAAAATTCTCACCTCCCCTCTGTTTCTTTTAACAACTATTTTAAATCGGTGCCCTCGGGTTACCGACCCACCCGCCAGTGGAAATAGTTTCTCCTTGTTCACCCTAACGAATACCCTCATAATTTTGAAAACTATTAACTTTTCTATTAAGTCGCCTCTTAACCTTCTCTGTTCCAAGGAGAATAATCCTGGCGTCTCCAGCCTCCTGATAACTGAAGTCCCTCATTCCTGGTACCATCCTGGTAAACCTCCTTTGACCCTCCCCAAACCTTGACATCCTTCCTAAAGTGTGGGGCCCAGAACTGAACACAGTCTCTAGCTGAGGTCTAACCAGTGTTTTATAAAGGTCCATCATAACTTCCTGACTTTTGTATTCTATGCCCCTATTTATAAAGCCTAGTATCCCGTATGCTTTTTTAACAGCTTTATCTCCCTGTCCTGCCACCTTCAAAGATTTACTTATGTGAACGCCGAGGTCTCTCTGTTCCTTCACCCCCTTTAAGATTTTACCTTCCAGCTTTTTTTTTATTTGCCCTGAAATTGCCTGAAAAGTTGTGTGATAAATTTACTTTCGGTGTTAGCCTGGTTCAGTTGGTAGCACTTCCCTTTGAGTTAGAAGGTTATGGGTTCAAGCCTTGCGTAAGGGCTTTGAATTAACATAGTAAGATTCCAAAACAGTGCTGGATGTGAACTGTATTATTAGAGGTGTCATCAGTTCAGTTGAGACAATAAATGAAGACCTGTCTGCCTGTTCAGTGGATGTTAAAGATCCGTTGGCAGTATTCAGAAAGGGAATGGACTTTTTCTTGGTGTCCTGGCAAACAATCCGACAGATAAAATTGATCATTCACTTCACTGCTGTTTGTGGGAAAATGCTGTGTGCAAATTGACTCCTGAATTTGCCGATAAAATATGCAGTCACCACACTTCACAGTAAATTCTGAGAGCACTTTGAGAAACCCTCCCAACCTGGAAGGAGCTATAACAAATGCAAGGTTTATAATTATGCAAGGTTTATAATTATAAATTACAGCATCTTCTGTACATTAAAAATGTTTATATGTGTTAATGATTTGGTGCATTCACTGTGTAATTTAAATCTCACCGAGAAAAGTTGCCATAAGTTTGCGCTATTACAGTAAAAAGACATGAAAAAGACTACCTAGGTTGTGTGAATGCAATAAACCTTGAAGATCACTGTCCCTAATGATCACTACTATCTATAATTGTCATCTTTATCACAAGAATGCTCTGCTGTTTTCTCCTTCCCCAAAAATATACTGATAAAAATGATGGAAACTGATCACCATTTTTATATCTGTAAAAAGTGTAGATGAGGCATTAATGTCCCCTCAAAAGAGCACTCTTTGTTAAAATTACCACAATTATGGATGTCTTCTTACTTTAGAGCTACACCACATTCACTCTGGGTATTGGCGTGAAAATAGCTGAACATTAAAATTCTTTACTTTTCATGCCAGAGCCACTTCATGTTTCCACTTACCATTGCAGAGTGTAAAATTGTTGGAACCTGTGCAGACCTGTTTTAAATTAATTCCTTATTAGTATTCCTATCTGTGACTCTCCTGCTGTGAACAATTCCATCCCCTGTGACTAACATTCAGGAAATGGTATGAATAATGTGGCATTCATTTGTGATAAACATACAGTAATCAGTATGTGTCTTACAGAACTCTGTTTGATGTGATTATTATGTTCAGTAGCAAAGATGTATCAATATTTTATGTTAATTATATAGCGCGTCCTATAGGGAAATCAGCAGATACATTGTAATCCGTACACAGACACACAAAATGCCACAGCATTTATGGTGAAAACCCAAGTGTACGGACCAATACAAATAACATTTGGCCATCACCTTAATTAGCCCCTTTGTCCTAGTTATAGTTTTAATTGGAGTTGGGGATAACATCATTTGACCACACTGTTAGCCAAGCATTCTAAATATTGGCAGAGCTGTGTTTTTCAGTACGGTTTCTGTTCTTGGGTCTCACTCGTGTAGGCATCCTGTTCCTTGTTTCACATGCAAGGCAGTGTCCATCAGTTTGGTCATATCATTATTCTTGCATGTGGGAAATGAAACAGACAGTCTCTCTGATTTCTTGGGATCTGTATTCCGATACGTTATATTTTTTTCCCTGAAAGTATGGATTGTAACTACATTAATTTATTACTCACTGCAGTACCACAACACACACTCTGGGCTCTCACCAATCTGTGCCTAATACTCTCTGGAATTAGGTAAGCAGGGTGCATCCCTCCAGGGAGAGAGTGTGCATTCCATTCCTGACCCCACCCCCCCTCAACCCATTTACTTATAGATGGATTCCAGGAGTAAAACATCAACAGATGTGGTTCTCTAAACATCCAGACAATGCAAATGAACGAAGTCCAGAAACAGGATTTACAACAAACAGTTTTAACCATAAACTATAGACAGTGAGGATGCAAGCATATAAACACCGATCACGGTTATTCTAAGTGCTGATGTCAGCAAATTTATAATATAGTACTACTGTCTTGTGATACTTATATTGTGTTGTGAAAAGCTGATTTTAGCCAACCTAGTGTGTGACTTGTGTTCAAGCACATCACCATGCTTAAGAGTAATATTACACATATGTATGCCATCTGCACATGGAAATTTCCCTGTGTCAGGAATGGAATGTGCACTCTCTCTCTGGAGGGATGCACGCTGCTTATCTAATTCGAGAGAGTACTAGGCACAGATTGGTGAGAGCTCAGAATGTGCATTGGGTATTGCTGGTGTCTAACCAGCTAAAGCTGCATAGATTGCCACTGCGAACATTTCCAGGCAAGCTTCTTGCTGTCTATAACAATAATAATCCTTGCATTTGATATAGAGCCTTATCACGTCATTGAGACGCCTCAAAGCGCTTCACAGAATATAGTAAAGTGAACTGACTATATTTTGTGGGAAACAATTTGTTTGTCCAGCTAGGACCACCCTACCCATTAGGGATTTGGCTTACTGGGTTACAGGAAAAAAATGGGAAGAATCACTGCTCCCAGTAACCAGCTTGCCCTCCAACTCCTGCCGAGCCAGGCTGGCTGTGCTGTCAGAAA